GACAAAGAGTAGCGCGCAACTACAGCGTCGTACAAGGTCTGAGCACTCTTGTACTGACTAAAGTGCGCGCGCTCAGTGGTGGGCAAGTGGCGACGCACAGCAAGACGTGCAGCAGCATCGCGGGTGGCCCACTGAGAGCGAACAGTGGGGTCAGCATCAGCAGCAGGGGCAGGAGAGGCGCCAGAGGTGAGGTCAAAGAGAGAAAGGTCGTCTGCCCTATCGCACTGTAAAAACAACTGCAGGTCGTCGACCCAGACCTCAAAGTCAATGGCTCTGCCCTCAGCGTCAAAAGCTAGGACACTGGGGGTAGCCATGACGACAGACTAGCAGTGCAAGCAGTGGGGAAGGGCACGCAGTAGCAGTAGGGCAGTGCTGTGCTCACCAGACAGGGCAGGTCGGGCGACTTGACGGCTGCAGGACGGCTCGGCCGCTGCGGGGCGGCTCGGCTGCGGCTGGGCGGCCCGGCTGCTGCTGGGCGGCTCGACTGCTGCTGGGCGGCTCGGCTGCTGCAGGGCGGCACGGCTGGTGCTGGGCGGCTCGGCTGCGCCGGGGCGGCTCGGCTGCTGCTGGGCGGCTCGGCTGGTGCTGGGCGGCTCGGCTGCGCCGGGGCGGCTCGGCTGTTGCTGGGCGGCTCGGCCGCGGCTGGGCGGCTCGGCTGCGGCTGGGCGGCTCGGCTGCTGCTGGGCGGCTCGGCTGATGCTGGGCCGCGTAGGTAGGGCGGCTGTAGGGCCGCGGGTAGGGCGGCGGGTAGGCCGCAGGTAGAGCGGCGGGTGGGCCGCTGGTAGAGCGGCAAAGGGCCGCGGGTAGGGCGGCGAAGGGCCGCAGGGAAGGCGGCGGGTGGGCCGCAGGTAGGGCGGCAGGTGGGCCGCTGGTAGGGCGGCCGTTGGGCCGCAGGTAGGGCGGCAAAGGGCCGCGGGTAGGGCGGCGAAGGGCCGCAAGGAAGGCGGCGGGTGGGCCGCAGGTAGGGCGGCAGGTGGGCTGCTGGTAGGGCGGCCGTTGGGCCGCAGGTAGGGCGGCAAAGGGCCGCAGTTGAGGCGGCTGTAGGGCCGCAGGTAGGAGGCGGCGGGGCCGCGCCAAGGAGTGGCGGGGCCGCAACGAAGAGGTGGCGGGGCCGCGACTCAGTGGCGGGGCCGCGACAGGGCGGCGTGGCCGCGACGAGGCGGTGGGGCCGCGAGTGATGGCGGCGGGGCCGCGTCGGAAAGGGCGGCGGGGCCGCGTCTGAACGGGCGGCGGGGCCGCGTCTGAAAGGGCGGCGGGGCCGCGTCCGAAAGGGGCGGCGGGGCCGCGTCCGAATGGGCGGAGGGGCCGCGTCTGAAAGGGCGGCGGGGCCGCGTCCGAAAGGGGCGGCGGGGCCGCGTCTGAAGGGGCGGCGGGGCCGCGAGGGAAGGGCGACACGGAGGGTCGCTGGAAAAAAAAGTTCGCGCGCCTCGGGGCGCGCTTCGGTGGGCCCTAGGCGAAGTTCCCACAGGGAACCCGCTCTATACCATGTGAAAGTTGAAGAACAGGAATGAGAATGACTAAGGAAAGATGGGGTACAAATACAACCCTAGAAACCTGTACCCCATATGTGCTACCCCACTATAGCCTACAGCAACTATGTCATATAAATCTGACAGCTCCACCTTTTCCCGTATGGCTAGTGGCGTTCCGTCGACTAAGCGTGCATCCATCTCAGGTAAGCATCGGTTAAGTGTTAACTGTAATTTCCGTGCGGTTGCGGTATTAACTAAGCTGTGACTTGCTCCCCCGTCAATAAAAATCTTCACTGCTGCTCCATGTATTTTCCCGTAGATCAGTACCGGGCAATCCGTCGCTGTACCCTCCTTATTCATCCAAGCCCGATCGATGGCGTGAATCGGTACTGTGACTCGGTGAGGGTCGGTGTGGTTGGGCGAGCAGGCAGTCTCGTCAGTAGTTGGCCCAACTTCTACTGACTGCTGGCGTTTCCCTGCCTCTGAGACTCCCTCCCCTGCTCTGCTCCTCGGCGCCTCAGCTCCTCTGGGCATTCGCTCTTGCGATGGCCCGGCCTGTTGCAAGCAAAGCAGTGCCCTTTAAACGGTGCGGCAGCTGCATTTGTTGCAACGGCGTGTACAGTGGCGTGCTCGGTCGGTCCCCGAGGGCGATGTCCGTAATAGGACCCCGGTCTCGGTCGGCGTAGAATGTCGATCTTCTCGGCGAGCGCGAGAATCTCGTTAAAATTAGAGAGTCCGCGCAGCATTATTTCGTGCGAGATATCCGGCTTCAGCCCTCCGACATAACGGTCCACCCGCTCCGCTTCGTGCATGTAGCCGACCTGCTCGCAAAGTGCGAGAAAACCGCTTGTATAATCTTGAACTGACCCGAGCTGGCGCCAAGTGCGCAATCTCTGACGCGCCGAAATTGAAGCCGCGATCGGCTCAAAACGCGCCCGAAGCCCTGCGCACCACGCATCCCACGTGCTGTATTGGGCGGTCTCACAGAACGAACTCCAGGTGACAGCTGGACCCGTGGGCCCTTCCTCGTGCGACGGTGGCTCGTAGGCGCGTGGCGACGTCACGATGACTCGCCACCAGTCCATGGCGGGGCCCCTTAGCAGTGAAACTGCATACCGGATCTTCGCGGCATCCGACTCGACGTAATTTGCGTCGAAGAAGACGTTCATCGTGAAGACCCACGATTGAACCGTCGGACCGCCGCGTTGGCTTGGGTCGAAGCAGGGCGGGCGTTGCGGCTTGAGCGGCATTGGTGCCATGATGGCTTGTTCGCCACTTGTCGCCGCAAATTCCACGTGCCGACGGGCTTCTCGGGGCTCCCGCGGGCTTGGTGCGATCCTGTTTCCTCCCATGCCAGGTATCGGCTGGGCGACGCCATTACTGGTTGTGCCTGAGCGTTGTCCCATGCTGTCGTGTTGTGTTGGTGTGCCGGACGAGATGACGATCGGTTCATCCGAATGTGCCGATACATTTGTTGGTGTGTGTGATGTCGTCGGAACGTTCACCGTGGACTGTTGACGGGCGGAGTCACGTTCCGCCGTGAGCGTCGCGATTTCGAGCGCTGAATCTTCCAGTTGACGCACGAGACGATCAAGTTGCTCCTGCGTTAATGTGGCGAGCGTGAAATCGGCCATGGCGGGGGTGTCGGGCAAGCTCAGCGAGAGCCTCGGTCGTGGCCGTGCGTGCTTGCGAGAGAGCACTACGAGCGGCGGTGCTGTATCGCTGAGAGACGTCTACCCCCCCCAAAAAAATGAGATAGTGGGGAAGCGAAGGTGTGGATGCGGTCCGAGCTGAGATCGTAGGCTCTGATACCAAGTGTTACGAGTGCAATTGAGTGAACGAACGAGAATTGCACTATCGAAGCAAGAATACAATGAGCGAGGGCGTGAGCGAAGAATATATAGCGAAACTACAGTGGTAACGGTAATGGTCTGTGGTAGTCGCGCGACGAGCCTGGGACTGAGGTTGGGAAAGTGTCGAGGCGTAGGCCCGGAGCGCGGGTTACCAGCCGAGCCGTGAGGTCGGGATGCGATGTGCGAAAAATGGCGGGATGATTGTCGATGTGATGATCGCGAGTGGTAACGGTGCTGACTGAGGTGCTACAGTGATGTACGCGTTGAGCAGGGATGCGAAGTAAGGAAAAGGGATTTTCCTTACACTGACATTGCAGATTCGCCCTTTTTCAGAACAGATTCGCCATGAAAGTTCAGTTTCGATAATGCTCAGCGCGTTACTACACGTACCCTGATCCTGACTTTTCGACCCTGAACACTCATACTGTATAACTTCCCAACACTGAGCAGTCAGGGTGCTACTTTTCTGGAAAATATGCCTTCAGGGTTTTTTTTTTTTTTTTTTTTTTAGGTGGACATCAGGGTACCTAAATTTCAAACGTCAGCCCTGCCCGTAGTGCACCCCATTTTCATGCATTACTGTTACCACGCTAGCTTCGCTATATATTCTTCGCTCATGCCTTTGCTCAATGGACTTTTTGCTTTGATAGCGCAACTCTCGTTCGTTCACTCAATTGCACTCGTAACAGAAAAAATGATTCTACAAATTTGGCAGTCTTGTATGTGAACACATGAACGCTACTAGTCCCTACCATACAGCGATAACACGAGCGTACGTGTAAGGAAAATTTTGCAAAGCGGTTTTCAAATTTTACTAACTCCCGCGCCCCCAAGCTCTCTCTCCTCTCCAGCGAGGGCCAGTCGCCAGTGGATCGTCGCAGTGTGTCGTCCACCCCTGTCGCACATTCTCTGATGGTTTGTACTGTCGGATGATAGTCGTCAGTTGCACCTCCCCTGGCTCTAGCTGTCGTCCTTCCGGTAACTTTCTCCGCCCCGTGCCCCTGAATGGTTCAATCCACCTCGCTCAGCCGAACGGCCGTTTCGCCCTGACACACGCAGCCAACAAGAACTCGTCGCAGACAAGCCGAGTGTTCGTTCTGGCCCTTCTTACATCGCCAAGGAACCCCCTGACGAATCGCTCACGACGGGGTCTCGCTTCCCATTGGTCACTTTGCTCAACGACTTTCGAGGAAAGTGTGTTCTGGACTTACAAAGCCTACGAGTCGCGTATCTTCGACAATGTGCGTTCCGTAAATTCGCTTCTCAGCACGTTACATAGAGAAATGCGGCTCGTAAAGATGTACCTGCTGTGATTTCTGAGGCATCTGCACGCAGGGATTCTATTTCGCTGGAATCCCGACTTTAGTCTCTCGCCCTGTCCCTCCCCCGCTCTCGCAAAGCTTGGGAGCTTGCAAGCCCCGCTTCGAATTTGCTCCTCGGTTGTCCCCATTTTCTCAGAAGCCTGCATGTACCTCTCGGGCCGCTCATAGTGAGGCACACGCTTTCCGGCGGAGGGTGCAACATATAAAAAACTGCACTCCTATCTTGCGAACCAGCTCGACTGTTTCACTGTTTCTAGCTCAATCTCAGTACAACCTGTACTGGCACAATAGGTCGCGACCTCTGGCAATAATCCTCCATTTAGTGCCTCTACATCCCTCACAAGAGAGGAGCGATGACGAGACGCATACTACTTCTGGTTCTAGCTACACTTGTAGCGTCATGTAAGTTTAGAGGACGCTGTTGAGTCCTTATTTTCTCGTTGTGCTGCTGCGATGCGAGCCTTGGTTGACTTGGAAACATCGAAACTAATCAGATTAAACGAGACTTCGTTTTCTTCTCCGTCCATACGTCAATCTCTCCCCACCCAACTCTTTCTCCAGGCACCACAATCAACGCGCAACAAACGCAATCACCTACGGTACCCACTCGGGTCACGTCACAGCAATCCCACTGGCACCAGCGGCCGCTACCGCTGAACCCGTCTCAAAAGCGCGCGCTTTCTCAGCTGCGCCTCCGCGCTCCTCGAGCCGCCAAAATTATCCTTAACCGCCTCAAAAATCGCCAACCCCCCACTACAACTGTCGCCCAAAAATCGCACGAAATCGCCAGCCCCCTCCAATCCGCCGCCTCCCGAGCCCTTTCCTGGCTCCAATCAAAACCCTCCCTTGACTCCTCCGCGCAACTCTCCGCCCAACCTTCCGCGCAACCCGCCTCCGGCCTCTCCATCCTCTCCCGCTTTCTCTCCGCCATGCGCCCCGCGGGCCTCTCCGCCGGCGCAAGCAGCCGCCGCGTGCTGCGCCGCCACCCCATCGGGTCGGGCCACCGCGCGCCTGGGAAAGGGCATCATGGGCCGTCCGGGGGGCATCACGGTTTGACAGGCGGGCACCATGGGCTGAAGGGCGGACACCACGGGCCGAACGGCGGGCATCACGGGCCTAATGGCGGGCATCACGGGAAGGCGAAGTGGGAAAAGATGCAGAAGCTTCGCGCCGCGAAAGACGGACTGAATCTGGGGTCGACAAAAAGCGCGGATGATTTCAGCGGTGCGCTCTCGGGGGATTTCGGCTCGGGGTCCGGGTCGGGTTCGAATTCCGGTTCAGATGTTTCGTCGACTTTCTCTGTGACCCAATTCGGCGCCGATGGCGGTGGCTCGAGCGACGACTCGAAGGCCTTCGCTGCGGCGTTCGAGGCGGCATGCAAGGAGGCGAAATCGTCCGACAAAAAAACCGGAGTTGTCGTTCCGTCGGGAAAGACGTTTCTGGTAAAGCCCGTGCTGTTCGAGGGGCCGTGCGGGCCGGGCGTGCAATTCACAATTGACGGAACCATCGTGGGGCCTTCCGATCCCGGGCAATACGACAATCCCGGGTCGGGCACGTACGGCATCCTGAATTTCCGCAGTATCCCGGGACTGGAAATTGTGGGAGGCGGGTTGGTGGATGGGAATGCGGAGGAGTGGTGGAAGAAAGACCGCGACGAGCGGCCGCAGAACATCGTCATTGTGGAGTGCCACGGCGTGCTGGTTACCGGCATCACCTCCAAGTGAGTTTCGCCGCGCCGCGCGTGCCGCCTAATCCATCCTATCCCTTTGAGTTTTGATTTCGGTTTGTACGATTTCCCTCGTCCGTATGCTCACCGTCTCTCCTCCTCCTCTTTCCCCTCCTCCCCTTCCCTCTTCGGCGATCGCAAATCAACTCGCCAGGGACCCCCCGTTCAAGCATCTGTTTTTCTACGAGAACAACGGCGTGACTGTACGCGGCGTGACTACATCGAGTCCCGAGGAGAGCCCGAACACGGACAGCCTTCATTTGTCGTACGTGCAAGACGCGCTCATCGAGAACTGCGAGTTTTCGGGCGGCGATGACAACGTGGCAATCATCAACGGCACGTCGCGCGTGCTCATTCAGAACATTGTTGGCAACTCCGGGCACGGAATCAGGTGAGACAATTCTACAAGCTCTACAGTGAATTGATGAATCCGCAACCAGCGAAAAAAACAATCGTGGGCAGCAAACACAGATTATTAACGCACGGAAAAATGCATGTGGCTTGCTTTTCCCCACCATCCGCTAAATCATCCTCATCAATCTCTTCCTCCTCTCTCTCGTGCCTTCTTTTTCCTTCCCTCCTGACCGCAAACAACAGCATCGGAAGTCTGGGGAAGGAAAAAGACATCAGCTGCGTTTCGGACATCACAGTTCGAAAATCCATCCTTCGCAACACCGCCAACGGGCTTCGCATAAAGACGTGGCAGGGCGGCAAGGGGAAAGCCCGGGGGATCCATTTCGAGGACATGATACTCGAAAACGTTGGTAACCCTATTCGCATCGACCAGTTTTACTGCGACAGCGAGTCTTCGCGGTCATGCGGCACCTCCCACGACGCTGTAGCGATTTCGGACGTCACGTTTAAAAACGTTAAAGGGACGACTTCTAAAGGGGAAGGGATCAAGCTCGACTGTTCCGATACAGTCCCCTGCAGCAACATCCTTTTATCGAACATCAACATACAGCCAGTGGAAGGCGGGGATCCGTTGGAGCCGTTTCTCAATAGCGCGTATGTGACTATAGAGGGGCCGGTTGTGCCAGAATTGAAGGACGTGAAGAGCAGCCCGAGCTCGGGGCTGCTTTCAGCAGTGAAGGAGATGGAAGGGTACTGCTAACGGGCGCGGTGGGAGGGGGGGAGGGGGGGAGTGGGGGAGGTAGAATGCAATGGTGGGTCTGCTCTGGCGTGTTGGGGGGGAAGAAGGGGGTTCATTGCTGGCCTTTGCCAACAGGCGTGGTGGGGGGAAATGCACTGGGTTACTGCTAACAAGTGCAATGGAGGGAGGTGGGGTGGACTGGTGGGTAATGCTAACTGGAATGAAGGAAGGACATATGTGGGCTGTGGAGGGAGGTAAGAGAGAGGGAGGAAGGAGCGGAGGTAAATGCTGCAGGGTGTTCAGGTAGCAGCAACACAGATTCCGTCCTAATCCATGCTTAAACTTTTTCTCCCTCTCTCTCGGGGTGTGTAGGAGCGTTGACTTAGGTTAGCGTTGACACTAACGTCTGTCAGAGCCTTTCTGATAGCAGCAGCAACAACAGCAGCAGCAACATCAGCAGCAACAGCAGCGGTAACAGCGGCTTTGACTAGCAGCACCTCTTGGTTCAGGTACGTAGGGGCGGCAGCATCCGCTTGCGATCTAGGCTAGTATTGACACGAACGCCTGTCAGAGCCTTTCTGACAGCACCAGCAGCAGCAGCAGCAGCAGCGACGTTGACTAGCAGTAGCAGCACCAGCTACCAACAGCGAAATTAGCTATCAGTTGTAGGAGATTCACCAGCAGTAGCAGCCACATGAGCAGCAAGAGGTGACAGCAATGGTCGCAGCAACAGCAACCTTCTGTGGTGGAAGCGGGGTTCCTTCTAACAGGGCCCTGTGCACTGAGGCAAGACAAGGACAAGGAAAGCAGTCAGGGACGGGGCGCAATACTATGCTTCTGGTCAGATACAGCGCAGCATGCTCTAGGAGCTGTGGGTAAGACAAGCACCAGGAGGGCTTTGCTAGGGCAATGGTAGTGGGGGTCAGGGGTCTTGGTTTTGGGGTTTGGAAGTGAATGAGGGCCGTGGGGCTATGTAGGGTTATGTAGTTACATGAGGGGTTAGGGCAAGCAACGCACAGCCTGTTCTCTCTTGCAGAGCAAGCAGGGGCCCTTAGGTTTATCCTCTTGTGTTGTACATGTATGGAGTATGGAATGTATGCACGTCTTCTCTCTGACAAAATGCTATCGTTCATGCACACTTTCTGAGGGACACCGTAGTTGCTTTCTGTCACTGAGACAAGGCCACACTTTGGTAGCACCACCATTTGAAATCCTAGTGATAGATGGAATACAGTACTAAGTGCGTTGGTTTGATAACCCTGGGGTCGGGTGCTGCAATTGGTGGCGGCATCTCGCTGGTGCTGGAAAGGCACGAGGCTATTCCTGCAGGGGCAAATGGGGAAAATTGCAGAGACGGGGCACGTTTTCCAGACATAATGAGTGGTCATAACAGCATGTTTCTAAGAAAAAATATACAGTTGAGAACTATAGCCTTGAGTTGACTTACGGGACGAGTTCCCAGTTCCAGTCGGAACCCACACAAAGCCTGCATGCTTCGCTCCTCGTTCCCATAACGTCTCGCTTACGGGACGTCTATACGCTAGTAACCAAAATTCGTGAGCCATGTGACTCCTCGCACAACCCCTACCCGAGCCGCATTTCGGGGAACGGGTTCGATGGTATAAATCTTCAGTCAACAAATTGATGCCCCTCATTCCCCCTCCAACCACATTCTGGGGAGTTACTAAGTGCCGACTTGATTGCATGCAATCCAGCACTGCTGGCACCAGAATGCGATTTTTCCTGGAGATGAGATCCCTTTCGTGCGCCATGAGAGATCGACAGCTCAACCTGATCCCGTTGGTTCTCATCCTCGTCATCGGGAGGTGCATAGCGCACCCACGTTCCGCACCTCGCCGCGTACTCGCAGCCACTGGCAGCAATGCCAGCCCGTCTGACGAGGCATCCGAGGGCCGCCCAAACGATTTGAACGATGCTGTCGCATGGAAGGCCTCTGCTCATGCGGCGCCTCTCGACGACTCCAACGCCGAGATGAAGCTGGCTGCGCCCCTATTCGCCAACCATCATCGCGCCGTAAACGCCTGGGCAGCGCGCACGAATTATCGCGGCGGTTCAACCGCTGCTCCCATGACGAAGCGCCGATTTGCCAGCGGTACTTTCCGCATGGCCGGTCGCAGCGACATGGCGATTCGCCATTACAGTTCTCCGCCGCGCCACGGAAGGGGCGGCGGCATGAACGGCGGTGGAGTTCGCCCTGGTGGAGGAGCGCAGGTCGGAGCGCAATATGTGACTCACGGCAGCGCACAGCAGCATCCATCGAGGGGCGGCACGACCCACCACCTGAAGCGCAATGCGCCGCGGCAGCAGCACGTGGGGTTCCACCAGACGGCGGAGAAGGAGGTGTCGCTGCGGCACACACTGAGTAATGGTGATAACTCTGCCCGGCTGGGCAAGGACAGCATGAAACACGGCGTGAATGGCGACGGCAGTGGCGACGGTGGTGATGCGAGTGGTGATGCCGCCGAACCGTCAGCGACTTTCTCCGTGACCGAATTCGGTGGCGGCGGCGGCGGCTCGAGCGACGACTCAAAGGCCTTCGCTGCAGCGTTCACAGTGGCTTGCAAGAAAGCCTCGTCGTCCGACAAAAAATCCAGGGTGGTGGTTCCGTCAGGACAGACGTTCCTCGTGAAGCCGGTGGTGTTCGAAGGGCCGTGCGGGCCGGGCGTGCAATTCACAATCGACGGAACCATTGTGGCGCCGGGTGATCCCGGGGAGTTCGACAACCCCGGGTCAGGCACGTATGGCGTGCTGAATTTCCGTGGCATCCCGGGCCTGGAGATCGTGGGCGGCGGGCTGGTGGATGGGAACGCGGAGGCGTGGTGGAAGAAGGGCGGCGACGAGCGGCCGCAGAACATCGTGATTGTGGAGTGCCACCGCGTGCTGGTTACTGGCATCACCTCCAAGTGAGTCACTGCACTGCGCAAATAAAATTCGATTTCGAATACAATTCTCATTCCTTACCGCCTTGTTTTGAATGTCGCAACAAATTCTCAACGTTTGGCTTCCACTGCTTTCTCCTCTTCCCTCCCGTTGCTTTCGTCTCCGTGAATCCACTTGCCAGGGACCCCGCGTTCAAGCATCTGTTCCTCTACAAGAACAATGGCGTGACTGTCCGCAGCGTGACTACATTGAGCCCTGAGGAGAGCCCGAATACGGACAGCCTTCATTTGTCGTACGTGCAAGACGCGCTCATCGAGAACTGCGAGTTTTCGGGCGGCGATGACAACGTGGCAATCATCAACGGCACGTCGCGCGTGCTCATTCAAAACATTGTTGGCAACTCCGGCCACGGCATTAGGTGAGACGTTCTTAGATTTACTCGTAAAGGCAAAACTGCATCTGACTTGCTTCTCCCAACTATGACTTCCTATCCCATTCGCTCAAGCACGCCTTATTCATTCCTCTTCCTCGTGCCTAATCTTTCCTCCCCCCTCCCCCCCCCCCCCCCCCCACCTCAAACAACAGCATTGGAAGCCTGGGGAAAGATGAAGACATTAGCTGTGTTTCGGACATAACAGTTCGAAGGTCCATCCTTCGCAACACTGCCAATGGGCTTCGCATAAAGACGTGGCAGGGCGGCAAGGGGACAGCCAGGAAGATCCATTTCGAGGACATGATTCTCGAAAACGTTGGTCACCCTATTCGCATCGACCAGTTTTACTGCAACAGCGAGTCCTCTCGGTCATGCGGCACCTCCCACGACGCTGTAGCGATTTCAGATGTCACGTTTAAAAACGTTAAAGGGACGACTTCTAAAGGGGAAGGGATCAAGATTGACTGCTCCGACACAGTCCCCTGTAGCAACATCCTTTTATCGGACATCAGCATTCAGCCAGTCGAAGGCGGAGAGCAATTGCAGCCGTTTCTCAATAGCGCGTATGTGAGTATAGAGGGGCCAGTTGTGCCAGAACTGAAGGACGTCAAGAGCAGCCTAAGCCCCGGCCTGCTTTCAGCGATAGAGGAGATGCAAGGGTACTGCTAAAGGGCATGCTGGGACGGGGGGGATGCAGTGGTGGGTCTGCTGACGGGCGCGGTGGGCAGGGGTTGCATTGGAGGGCGTGAAGAGCAGCCCGAGCTCAGGGCTACTGTTGGCATTAGAGGAGATGCAAGGATACTAGTGCTAACGGGCGTGGTTGAGGCGAATGGTGTGGGTGGTGCATTGGTGGGCTTTGCTAACAGTCATAGTGGGGGGGAGTGCACTGGTGGTTGCTGGGGGGGTGACTGGCGGTTCTAGCACAAGAACGTCTGTAAGAGCCTTTCTGATAGCAGCAGCAGCAACAGCAGCAGTCGCGGCTACATTGACTGGTAGCAGGCACATCAGTAGCAAGATGGGGGTAAGGAAGGCGAGAATACCACCTCTTGCTGCTAATGTGGCTAATGACGCTTCGCCTGCCACGGTAGCAGCACCTATGGTGTGGAAGCGGGGGGGTTCCGTCAAACAGGGTCCTGTATACAGAAGCAAGTCACGGAATTCAGCCAGGGGCGCAATACTATGCTTCGGGCTGGTGACAGGGGAATATGCTTTAGAGGGGTAGGGGCAAGCCAAGCAGGGATATCTTGCCAAGGCTTAATGAGATTGTGGGTTCATTTGTTGTGTGTAGGATATCGGGGTGTCAGGGTGAAGGTGTTGCGACTTGAGACTGAATGAGACGTGCGGGGTTTGGGGTTGGCAAGCAGAGCAGGGGTTGCTTTCTCTTGAAGCGTACGTTGGGGGCTAGCTTTGCTGCCCCCTCTCGTAAATGTATGAAGTCTGAAACTGTCACCCTGAATACTCATTCTTCTTGCCTTTTCACTGCAGTCGGTCAAAGTAGAAAAACCACACTGTTGCCATCTCTGGAGAATGGACGAGCAATCTTAGTGCTGAAATGGAAGCGATGCCTAAGACCTGGCGTGGCGAGTACTGAAGCTGGTATAAGCTGCAATGCGTGTGGCAACAAATACATAATATCTGAACGTGTTCAAATGTACAGCACAGCGGGGAAAGCCAGGCTAGGTACAATTTATTCGTTAGTACACTTACTCGCCTCAGCAAAGCACACCCGCCATCATGCGTTTGAACTCGCTATAATCAACCTTGCCATCCCCGTTAGCGTCCACTCTGGCTATCATTCTATGGCAATCCTCCATCGACATGGCGTCACCGCTCAGCATCTCGATCGCCTGCTGAAGCTCCCCCGCGCAGATCGTGCCATTCCCGTCGCGATCGAATAGATCAAAAGCTCTCCGCAACTCGCCGTCTTCATCTGTCGGTGCTTTTAGTTCCTCTCCGGGTTCCGCGCTGGGTCTGCACGCGGCGCAGCTGCTAGAATCGGGGGAGCGCCACAAGAGGGAAGAATTCACAAACTCGTCGAAGTCAACTAAGCCGTCGCCGTCAACGTCTGATGACTGAATCAGTTCGCTGACGGAGACGCAGACGGTTTCCGTCCGACTGAGTCGTTCCAGAACCAGCGCCAACTCCGCTGGGGATATTTTTCCGTCGCCATTTATGTCGAAAACGCGGAATGCGTTCAACGCTTCTTGCCTTTGGGACGGAGTTAAGGCATGCTGGCGCTTTCCGTCGCGAGTTCGTGCGCAGTGGCAAGCCGACGCGAGATTACTCCTGGACATCGTTGGGACGCCTGATTACCAAGTGCGTATTATGATTTGCATCCGTTCTATGGTAAAGGCGCAAGCTCTTCGACCTGCTAGAAACCTGACAGCGATGTGTGAGCACAATAAACACCGTGAAGGCCTTTCCTTGATGGCCGATGCACCCATGTCGTTGCACGGCTCCAGTAACGTCTTGGTCTTGAAGTGGGATGGGTTGATAAGCGAGACGTGCCTTGCTACTGTCAAGGAAGGAACACGGTCTTCCCAGCCCACAAGTTTTGGGAATGAAGGATGAAATTTGAAGCGTGAAATGGAGGGAGGGTTGGGAGGGAACCCACTCGTGCCAAAAAGGACATTGCGAAATTGACATCGCGGCTCGCACTTGTGCGAATCGACCGACATTTCAATCAGCAGGTTTCAGAAATTGCACCCGCTTCGGGGTGGTTGAAGCGAAGAGCCGTTTGGCTCTGACGATGAGCTGTTTGGTGAAGCGAGGGGGTGCAGTCCAGCGAATTTGCGAGTGTCGCTGTCAAGCCACGCGAACCATCGACAGGGAGGTTGATCCAGGCCAGCATAATCGCAACAGCTTCTATCTCTAGCGAAATGGGGCTGGGAAACCAGAGCCGAATCTTTGTGGTTCGAAACGTTTCGTGAATGACTCGAATGCTACATTGCCAAGCGAATCCATCGTGTATCGATCTGCTTGTATGAAGTACAATCTGGTCATTCATCACCTCCCTACTAGGCCAAACCGCCAGTTCCTGTCCTTTTCGCCCCTAATTCCCCACTTGACGATAATTCGTTGTTCAGTCGTATCTGAATATGGCGGTTAGAAATAGCATTGATGCAGTAATAAGTCGCATTTGCGCGATCCGGTTACAAGATGCGGTTAAATCCTCCTCTTGTTAGTGAAGACGCATCGATATCAGCATCACCCGCAACCACCTTCCCCCCTTAACGAGAACGCTTGGGGTGCATAGGGTTACATTCAACAGAATCGAGCAGCGGTCAGCCGAAACAGATGTGCGCGGCGAAATGGGCCAACCTCCCCCACAGCCACTCGGCGCTCGCGGCAGTTACCCTCAACAGATTCGTGCGGCGTTAACGCGGAAAATATTTGGCCCTGACGTTTGTCGGATGGCCCCGCGAGCGAGGGCAGGCGAGGCGACTCGCCGGTGGGAGGAAGGCAGGGCGGTTGAAAGCGGTGCCAGCAAGGATAGAGATGCGACTCGATGTGCGTGGCAACTTGCCAGGACATGTCTCGAAGACAGCTGCGTGCCGAGACTAGGGGAGACTCCTCGTGTGCAGCAGCACGCCTACACGCACGCGCGTCACTCGCCCGCCTCGTCAGACCCCTGTCCGTCGACCCCCCTCGTCGACCCTGGCAACTCGGGTCCGTCGACCTGATTCCGCTGGGATCTTCTATTTGAGGAAATCTCTCTTGAGGGAGGAGATATTTTGTTTTGGCGATTGGAGTACAAGTCGCAGTACGAGCAATCGTTAGTATCACATCCGTCTGTTAATCGCAAGAGGCGGCCGCCATGGCGATCTTGCAGCGCACCGAGCCGTGTCTGGCGTTCCTGCTCGCTCTGCTCCTCGTCCTCACCCTCTCAGAGATTGCCACGTGTACTGCTCACGAGGATGGCTCGAGTCTCGATGCGCTCAGGACCCTCAGATTCGGGCGGCGCAAGACACTCGTGATGCCAGGTGGGGAATTTTGCAAGACTAGCGTTTGAAGGACTTTTGAATCGCTCCTGCTACGCAGCTTCTCTGCTACCCTGTCGAGTTACTATGCATTCACTGTGCCCGCCTCACACACCTTACCCTTCCTCCCCTTTCCTCCTTTCCTCCTCTCTTCCTCCTCACCAGGCCTGCCTCCCGTGTCCACGGGGCTGCTGCTGCCCCTCACGCCCAACATGTGGGCGTCCATCCGCCGCCGCAACCCCAACTTCCGCCACGCCAGTGTTGGCTTCGTGCCGCCCACTGCTGCCAGCAACGGCAGCAGCAACGGCAGTGGCGAGGGCGCGGCCCCGCGGTGGACTTACCTTGACCGCGTTGACTGGCAGCAGAGGCGCATGGTGCGCCCTGTGCAGAACCAGGCCTCCTGCGGTGAGACCCTTGCCCTTCACCTGCCCCTTGGCGTGCACGTTCACCTGCCCCTTGGCGTGCACGTTCACCTGCCCCTTGGCGTGCACGTTCACCTGCCCCTTGGCGTGCACGTTCACCTGCCCCTTGGCGTGCACGTTCACCTGCCCCTTGGCGTGCACGTTCACCTGCCCCTGCTCCTCTCCCCTAGTGCTCCTCCCTCTTTTTTCTCACTTGCTCTTTTCTTTGCCCCCAATCCGCCTGCCCCACCCAATCAGCGGCGTGATGGGCGATGGCAGCGGTGGCAGCAGTGGAGTCCCTCTATGCCATTGTCACCAACTCGCCGCCCCTTTCACATGCCCCCCCTCTCCCCCTTCCCTCTTTCCTCTTTGTTCCCTCTCTCCCACTCCCCCACCCAATCAGCTGCATGTTGGGCGATGGCAGCGGTGGCAGCAGTCGAGTCCCTCTACGCCATCGTCACCAACGCGCCTCCCCCAGCCATCTCCACTCAACGCCTCCTCGAATGCGCCCCCAACACCCCCCGCACCCCTTCGGGTGCCGGGGCTGGGAGCGGGAGCAACGACACAGGAGGGGGGGGAGCGTGGCAGGATGGGTGCGAGGGCGGGTGGTCCGCAGAGGCCCTTGACTTCATGGCTTTTACTGCCCTCCCCTCTGCTGCTGCTGTGCCTTTCATTGGAGCTCGGGGGACCAAGAACGCCTCTCGGGCTTCCCTTTGTGTGCAGCAGCAGCAGGCGCCGCTGCTTGTGTATGCGGATAACTCGGTGCCGTTCACGCGCCGTACCCCTTATAAGGGCCCCTTTAGCATCACCATGTTCGAGGAGACCGGGCTGGAGGGGTATTTGGGAATGATCCTGGCGCTGCAGCGACAGCCCGTGGTGGCGGCTGTAGAGGCGGACCAGCCTTCCTTCATTCAATACGATGGGGTGAGTTGTGCTTGGTGGGTGTTACGATTCCTCTTCGCTTTTCCGTACGCTTCTTGATTTTCTGTTTCCTCCTCCCTTCTCTTTCGTCCATGTGAATCTCTTACCTCCTTTTCCTCCCCCCTTTCCGTCCCCACCACCCCTCCTCTCCCCACCAGTCTTTCATCTACTCGGACCCCTCCTGCTTCCTCAACGGCCTAGTGGACCATTCTGTACTCGTTATAGGCTACGACCTCACCGACCCTACACCGCACTGGATCGTTCTCAACAGCTGGGGCTCCTGGTGGGGCCGCTGGGGCGTCATGCGCCTGGCCATGGCAGGGGGGGACGGGATATGCGGGATTCACTCCATGCCGGGCCTCTATCCGGTCATCACCACCCCCGATCCATGCTTTCCCATCAACCCCTGTGGCGGGGGCACGTGCGGTGTGGATGCGGGGACGGGGAGGAACACGTGCGAGTGCCCGGAGGGGTTCCGGATGACAGTTAACATCGATGGTTCACAGTCGTGTGCGCTGGGTGAGTTGAAGGAAGAGAGCAATTGGGAGCAGTTGTGTGCAGGTGAAGTCTGTAGTGCCTCATCTTGGTGTGGGATGGGTGCGCCTGTAGTGCCTCATTTTCCTCCACCCACCCCCACCCATCCCACCCACAGCGCGGCGCTGTGGGTTTTCCATGGTGAATCTGTGTGACACGGGCACGTGCATCAACAGCACCACCCACTCAGGAGGCTGCCCTTCAACCCCCTTTAACCTTTTGTCACCCACGGCCCTCTCCCTCGCCACTCACCCCCCCCTTGCAGCGCGGCGCTGTGGGTTTTCCATGGTGAATCCGTGTGACACGGGCACGTGCATTGACAGCACGACCAGCCCGGGCGGCTACTCTTGTCTGTGCCCGCCGCCCACCCAGCGCACCAACAACACGGACGGCACACAGACCTGCGTCGTGCCGCCCCCACCGCCCCCCACCAACTACTGGGACACCCCCGGCGCCGGTGGTGGTGGCAGCGGCAGCGGCAGTGGCGGCAGCGGAAGTGGCAGCAGCGGCAGTGGGGGCAGTGCAGGGGTGCGGAGAGTGCGGGTGGTGGAGGGGATGACGTGTGGCATGCTGGCACTTACCTTCCGCATCACAGTGGAACAGCTGCAGCAGACCAACCCTGTAAGAGCACTCTTCTCCTTGCTCTCTGTCGCCCACACTCAACACAAGCCCATGCATGCAAGCCCATGCATGCAAGCCCATGCATGCAAGCCCATGCATGCTAACCAGCAAGCCCCATCACCCATGGAAGGCATGACGTGTGGCATCCTGGCGCTCACCTTCCGCATCACGGTTGAGCAGCTGCAACAGACCAACCCTGTAAGCCCACCCACGTGCCCCTGCTCTCTGTCGCCCATTCTCCACACAATCCCACGCCTGCTTGCTAACCAGCAAGCACGCTCACCAGTGCATACTCTCTCGCGTTTTGCTAACCAGGCTGTCTTTTACTATAAATCCCTGAACTGGTTCTTGAGCATTCTCCCCCGCTGCCAATTGTTCTGCCGGCCCCATGCGGCCTGGGGCTTGTTTCACAGCACTCACTGCTGCGTCTTCCCCATGCGGCCTGGGGCTTGTTTCACAGCACTCACTGCCGCGTCTTCCCCATGCGGCCTGGGGCTTGTTTCACAGCACTCACTGCTGCGTCTTCCCCATGCGGCCTGGGGCTTGTTTCACAGCACTCACTGCTGCGTCTTCCCCATGCGGCCTGGGGCTTGTTTCACAGCACTCACTGCTGCGTCTTCCCCATGCGGCCTGGGGCTTGTTTCACAGCACTCACTGCTGCGTGTTCCCCGTGGGACTGACTGCTGCGGCATGCGTTGTGTGTGCTGCTTGGTTCCCTGACTCTCTGTGACTCTGTGTTACAGGGCATGGACTGTAGCAAGCTGGAGGTGGGAGCAACGGTCACTGTCAACACCACAGCAGCAGCCAACGTCTGCTCGCTGTCTTATGCTGCCTCTCTGGTATGCTCCACTCCTCCTCACCATCAGTAGCTGACCGTCCATCCTCTTGCCATGGCCAACCTTCGCCTTGAACTCTGATCCTGTGTGTGTATATATATATTTATTTCTTGCTTTTTTCAAAGTGACTGGGCACTTGCGAGGTAATTGATGGTGTGTGTTGCCTCGGTGCAGGGGGACACGTGTGCATCGATAGTGGACCTCTTCAATACAAGCACAGCGGCTCTCCTCACCCTCAACCCCCAGCTCGACTGTACCGAGCCCTTCTCCTCCAGCCAATCGGTACTTGCACCACCACCCCCATGCCTCCCCCCTGTCTTCCCCACGCCTTCCCCACGCCTTCCCCCTCTGCTTTCCCCCTCTGCCTTTCTCTCTCATGTTCCCCCGTGGTCTACCCCATGGCCATCTCACTCCACTCCCATTACTCCTTTCCCCCACACCCCCTCCCCCCCATCAGATCTGTGTGGCGGCAGCATCAACACCTCTCCCCCGCCGCTGTGCGCGCTGGTACACGCCCCAGCCGGGCGACACGTGCCCCTCCATCATGCGATCCGTCGCCTCTCCCCCGCTCCCCCCCGCCCACTTCATCGCTCTCAACCCCGGCCTCTCCTGCTCGCTGCTTGATCAACCCAATGCCACTGTGGGCGCTGGAGTCCAGGTGATAATTTGTGCCAGGGTTTAGGGTTCTTTGCACCAGGTCTGATAATTTGTGTCGTACTCTCGTTGCAGTCTTTGTAGGAACGAGAAGTTTCATTGCATAACTTAGTTAACGAACCTACACCACAGTTCTGACTAACCAATTCCCTCCCCCCCACCCCCGCTCTCCCCCTCCCTGCCCTCTTGTTCCTTTCTTTCGTTTGTAGGTCTGTGTGAAGGCAGCTCCCAGTTGGATGGGAGCGAGTAACTGCGTGACAAATGATTTTTACTATGCCACACGAGGCGATACGTGCGCTCGCATAATAACCGTGTATTTCCGCAATAGCGTACGGCTTATGGCCCAATATAATTTTGGCGTGGTTTGCCGGAACCCTCTGTTTGTTGGCATGCGATTCTGTCTTCCTCCGCAGCGGAATTCCTGGCTCTACCCTTGATCTGGTTGGCAAGCCATAAATAATGAACGCACATTGGTGTGTATATTCATCAATAATGATGCCTTATTTTGTGGTTAATATGGAATCTATATTTCGAACGATTCTTTACCATTATGAGAAGATTATGCGGTTCCAATTTGACGTGTTCGAGCTAAGTGCCACGCGCCTTGACTCTTTGCTCTGAGACGCCCGTGCCACGCGCCTTGACTGTCACGACAAGCAAGACTCGGTGGTGTGCCGTATGGACCGGTGCCTCTCCCGCGTGCTGAGGTTCTTGCGTGATTGGTTTCAGCTTTCTCGCCGAACCTCAACCAGGTATTTACGCGAGAAAGGCACGCTAGAATTTACGCGGACGCAGGCGGAGTCCCACACCTCGGCAACACCTGGCGACATCGCGTCGCATCACCTCATCCCTTCGTAAACTCGCGGGGAAGCCGCGTCGCCAGCTTCGCAGCACCTACAATTGCAGCTTGCTCGCCACGCAACGACAAGATTACCTCCGAAGGCGAATTCCAAAAGTTCGCAATTCCGTAACGGGGAAAGTCGAATGTAGACGTGGTGGGGTGAGCGAACGCGCTCGAAAAAGGTAACCCGAGTTTTCTCACTCTCCACTTACCAGCCGAACACTCCAGAGCACCTACAAAGAGGGGCGAAATGGCATCCAACTTTCGCATTTCACAATTTTCATCATTGGCTAACAACAACCTCTCAAGATAGTTCTCTTGCTGCGATAACAAAATCATCTCTGCGTTTCCAGTAGTAGCAGTGCCAGTCTCAATATTCCTGAAAGCAATCAGCGCGTCATCGCTCACCTCCGCTTTCAACCGGCAACCCAATCTTTTTTTCACACCAACTTTGTTTCTTACTTCCGCTCAATAGTCTCGCCGTCCCCGTCGCGCATGGCCCTCAAGCAGCACGACACACCTGCGCCAGCTTCTCACAACACCCGCTCGAGCCAAATTCGCCAGATCAAGTCCTCCTCGTTCCGTCGCGAGGCCGCGCGCACCTTCGATACCATCGACCTAGACAAGGACGGCAAAATTTCCGCCTACGAGCTCGCAACTCTCTTAACCCGCCTGAATATTTCTCTTGCAGATTCGACGCCTGGACAGCGCGGTAGTTCGCGCGAGGCAGGAGGCGATCTGATTGGCTTTGCGGAAGATGTGATTCGCGAGGCTGACGTGGATGGCGATGGGATGATCGACTTTGAGGAGTTTTTGCGCTCTGCACGCGCAGGCCCGTCCCTGTTGGGCGAATATTCAGTCTCCGATGAGGAGGATGATGAATCGGACGGTGGAAGTGCTTCGGAAAAGGACGTGAGGGAAGAGGATTTGTTCCGTGCGTTTGAGATTTTTGACCTCGACCATAACGGTGTAATTTGTCCAGAGGAGCTGAGATACGTGATTGGTGTTCTTAAAGGGGATGATTTGACGACAGAAGACTGCGAAAGGATGATAAAGAGGGTGGACTCTAACGGGGATGGATACGTGGATTATGACGAGTTCAAGACCATGATGGCCGGGATTTTCGGTTGACAAATGATGGCAGGGATTTGCCTCTAGCACCTAAGTTTCTTCCTTTCATTTACCAAACTGATTGTAAATGCTAGGCGAATAATAAGTTTACATCATATAGAATGCACTTACTCCTGTATGCGAGAATTATCAATCAGTTTCACCATTGCTGTCCTTCCATGCCTGGTGAAATTTCACGGCAGCCAACAAAGCCGTTGCAAGAACCTTCTTAGCATCTTCCTGGTTGCTTCCAAAAAACGCGTACCGGATGGCACGGCTGTGCAAGCCGCCCATCTCCAGGTGCGGCACGATGGCGATCTGGGCGGCAAACTCCCTCACTGCTGCCTGCAGGCCCGTGAAATCCCACCCCAGTGCTGCTGACTTGGCCTGCCATAGCGACAGGAACTGGGGGGGATGGGAAATGCAGGGCGATGGGAGAGACAGGGCATTGATGGAGATGTGGTAAGGTCAGTGTAGCGATAGGTTGTGCCATAGTGTGCCTGACTTGCTGCGTTAGAAGAAAAACTGACTGGTGACAGAGAGGAGAGGAGTGTGAAGCAGAGACTTTTGAGGCGGGATGCCTCAAGAGTGTGAAGCAGAGACTTTTGAGGCGGGATGCCTCAAGAGTGTGAAGCAGAGACTTTTGAGGCGGGATGCCTCAAGAGTGTGAAGCAGAGACTTTTGAGGCGGGATGCCTCAAGAGTGTGAAGCAGAGACTTTTGAGGCGGGATGCCTCAAGAGTGTGAAGCAGAGACTTTTGAGGCGGGATGCCTCAAGAGTGTGAAGCAGAGACTTTTGAGGCGGGATGCCTCAAGAGTGTGAAGCAGAGACTTTTGAGGCGGGATGCCTCAAGAGTGTGAAGCAGAGACAGATGCCGGGCACATGAATCACAACCCTCGTCTTCAAGACAGCTGCTGAGCTTGTCGCACCTTGAATGAGTCAGCACTATGTGAGAGAAGCACCATGGCATTGAAGCAGCATGGCATCACCCATCAACAGGGCGCGCCTCGCTCCCATAGAGCAGATTCCTAAGGCTCACATGCCATGCCTTTGCCTTGCAGTCATTTCACCATCAGCATCAGCATCAGCATATCAGCATCAGCATCAGCATATCAGCAGCAGCATCAGCATCAGCATCAGCATCAGCATACCAGCATCAGCATCAGCATCAGCATCACAGCATTAGCATTAGCATCAGCATCAGCAGCAGCATCAGCATATCAGCATCAGCATCAGCATCAGCATCAGCATACCAGCATCAGCATCAGCATACCAGCATCAGCATATCAGCATCAGCATCAGCATTAGCATCAGCATCAGCATCAGCATCAGCATCAGCATATCAGCATCAGCATCAGCATATCAGCATCAGCATCAGCATTAGCATCAGCATCAGCATCACAGCATCAGCATCAGCATCAGCATCACAGCATCAGCATCAGCATCAGCATCAGCATATCAGCATCAGCATCAGCATCAGCATATCAGCATCAGCATCAGCATCAGCATCAGCGTATCAGCATATCAGCATCAGCATCAGCATTAGCATCAGCATCACAGCATCAGCATCACAGCATCAGCATCAGCATATCAGCATCAGCATCAGCATCAGCATCAGCATCAGCATATCAGCATCAGCATCAGCATCAGCATATCAGCATCAGCATCAGCATCAGAATATCAGCATCAGCATCAGCATATCAGCATCAGCATATCAGCATCAGCATATCAGCATCAGCATCAGCATATCAGCATCAGCATATCAGCATCAGCATCAGCATATCAGCAGCAGCATCAGCATCAGCATCAGCATCAGCATACCAGCATCAGCATCAGCATCAGCATCACAGCATTAGCATTAGCATCAGCATCAGCAGCAGCATCAGCATATCAGCATCAGCATCAGCATCAGCATACCAGCATCAGCATCAGCATACCAGCATCAGCATATCAGCATCAGCATCAGCATTAGCATCAGCATCAGCATCAGCATCAGCATCAGCATCAGCATATCAGCATCAGCATCAGCATATCAGCATCAGCATCAGCATTAGCATCAGCATCAGCATCACAGCATCAGCATCAGCATCAGCATCACAGCATCAGCATCAGCATCAGCATCAGCATATCAGCATCAGCATCAGCATATCAGCATCAGCATCAGCATCAGCATCAGCATCAGCGTATCAGCATATCAGCATCAGCATCAGCATTAGCATCAGCATCACAGCATCAGCATCACAGCATCAGCATCAGCATATCAGCATCAGCATCAGCATCAGCATCAGCATATCAGCATCAGCATCAGCATCAGCATATCAGCATCAGCATCAGCATCAGAATATCAGCATCAGCATCAGCATCAGCATATCAGCATCAGCATATCAGCATCAGCATATCAGCATCAGCATCAGCATATCAGCATCAGCATATCAGCATCAGCATCAGCATATCAGCAGCAGCATCAGCATCAGCATCAGCATCAGCATACCAGCATCAGCATCAGCATCAGCATCACAGCATTAGCATTAGCATCAGCATCAGCAGCAGCATCAGCATATCAGCATCAGCATCAGCATCAGCATCAGCATACCAGCATCAGCATCAGCATACCAGCATCAGCATATCAGCATCAGCATCAGCATTAGCATCAGCATCAGCATCAGCATCAGCATCAGCATCAGCATATCAGCATCAGCATCAGCATATCAGCATCAGCATCAGCATTAGCATCAGCATCAGCATCACAGCATCAGCATCAGCATCAGCATCACAGCATCAGCATCAGCATCAGCATCAGCATATCAGCATCAGCATCAGCATCAGCATATCAGCATCAGCATCAGCATCAGCATCAGCGTATCAGCATATCAGCATCAGCATCAGCATTAGCATCAGCATCACAGCATCAGCATCACAGCATCAGCATCAGCATATCAGCATCAGCATCAGCATCAGCATCAGCATATCAGCATCAGCATCAGCATCAGCATATCAGCATCAGCATCAGCATCAGAATATCAGCATCAGCATCAGCATCAGCATATCAGCATCAGCATATCAGCATCAGCATATCAGCATCAGCATCAGCATATCAGCATCAGCATATCAGCATCAGCATCAGCATATCAGCAGCAGCATCAGCATCAGCATCAGCATCAGCATCAGCATACCAGCATCAGCATCAGCATCAGCATCACAGCATTAGCATTAGCATCAGCATCAGCAGCAGCATCAGCATATCAGCATCAGCATCAGCATCAGCATCAGCATACCAGCATCAGCATCAGCATACCAGCATCAGCATATCAGCATCAGCATCAGCATTAGCATCAGCATCAGCATCAGCATCAGCATCAGCATCAGCATATCAGCATCAGCATCAGCATATCAGCATCAGCATCAGCATTAGCATCAGCATCAGCATCACAGCATCAGCATCAGCATCAGCATCACAGCATCAGCATCAGCATCAGCATCAGCATATCAGCATCAGCATCAGCATCAGCATATCAGCATCAGCATCAGCATCAGCATCAGCGTATCAGCATATCAGCATCAGCATCAGCATTAGCATCAGCATCACAGCATCAGCATCACAGCATCAGCATCAGCATATCAGCATCAGCATCAGCATCAGCATCAGCATATCAGCATCAGCATCAGCATCAGCATATCAGCATCAGCATCAGCATCAGAATATCAGCATCAGCATCAGCATCAGCATATCAGCATCAGCATATCAGCATCAGCATATCAGCATCAGCATCAGCATATCAGCATCAGCATATCAGCATCAGCATCACCTTCACCATCACGCACAGCAGCGTTGCCCTCAAACTTCCTGTTATCATGGAACATGTTCTCACGCCCAGCACACCATGCTGTTCTCACGCCCAGCACACCATGCTGTTCTCACGCCCAGCACACCATGCTGTTCTCACGCCCAGCACGCCATGCTGTTCTCACGCCCAGCACACCATGCTGTTCTCACGCCCAGCACGCCATGCTGTTCTCACGCCCAGCACGCCATGCTGTTCTCACGCCCAGCACGCCATGCTGTTCTCACGCCCAGCACGCCATGCTGTTCTCACGCCCAGCACGCCATGCTGTTCTCACGCCCAGCACGCCATGCTGTTCTCACGCCCAGCACGCCATGCTGTTCTCACGCCCAGCACGCCATGCTGTTCTCACGCCCAGCACGCCATGCTGTTCTCACGCCCAGCACGCCATGCTGTTCTCACGCCCAGCACGCCATGCTGTTCTCACGCCCAGCACGCCACGCTGTTCTCACGCCCAGCACGCCACGCTGTTCTCACGCCCAGCACGCCACGCTGTTCTCACGCCCAGCACGCCACGCTGTTCTCACGCCCAGCACGCCACGCTGTTCTACGGCCAGCACGCCACGCTGTTCTACGGCCAGCACGCCACGCTGTTCTACGGCCAGCACGCCATGCTGTTCTACGGCCAGCACGCCATGCTGTTCTACGGCCAGCACGCCATGCTGTTCTACGGCCAGCACGCCATGCTGTTCTACGGCCAGCACGCCATGCTGTTCTACGGCCAGCGCGCCATGCTGTTCTACGGCCAGCGCGCCATGCTGTTCTACGGCCAGCGCGCCATGCTGTTCTACGGCCAGCACGCCATGCTGTTCTACGGCCAGCACGCCATGCTGTTCTACGGCCAGCACGCCATGCTGTTCTACGGCCAGCACGCCATGCTGTTCTACGGCCAGCACGCCATGCTGCTCTACGGCCAGCACGCCATGCTGCTCTACGGCCAGCACGCCATGCTGTTCTACAGCCAGCACGCCATGCTGCTCTACGGCCAGCACGCCATGCTGCTCTACGGCCAGCACGCCATGCTGTTCTACGGCCAGCACGCCATGCTGTTCTACGGCCAGCACGCCATGCTGTTCTACGGCCAGCACGCCATGCTGTTCTACGGCCAGCACGCCATGCTGTTCTACGGCCAGCACGCCATGCTGTTCTACGGCCAGCACGCCATGCTGTTCTACGGCCAGCACGCCATGCTGTTCTACGGCCAGCACACCATGCTGTTCTACGGCCAGCACGCCATGCTGTTCTACGGCCAGCGCGCCATGCTGTTCTACGGCCAGCGCGCCATGCTGTTCTACGGCCAGCGCGCCATGCTGTTCTACGGCCAGCACGCCATGCTGTTCTACGGCCAGCACGCCATGCTGTTCTACGGCCAGCACGCCATGCTGTTCTACGGCCAGCACGCCATGCTGTTCTACGGCCAGCACGCCATGCTGTTCTACGGCCAGCACGCCATGCTGTTCTACGGCCAGCACGCCATGCTGTTCTACGGCCAGCACGCCATGCTGTTCTACGGCCAGCACGCCATGCTGTTCTACGGCCAGCACGCCATGCTGTTCTACGGCCAGCACACCATGCTGTTCTACGGCCAGCACGCCATGCTGTTCTACGGCCAGCGCGCCATGCTGTTCTACGGCCAGCGCGCCATGCTGTTCTACGGCCAGCGCGCCATGCTGTTCTACGGCCAGCACGCCATGCTGTTCTACGGCCAGCACGCCATGCTGTTCTACGGCCAGCACGCCATGCTGTTCTACGGCCAGCACGCCATGCTGTTCTACGGCCAGCACACCATGCTGTTCTACGGCCAGCACGCCATGCTGTTCTACGGCCAGCGCGCCATGCTGTTCTACGGCCAGCGCGCCATGCTGTTCTACGGCCAGCGCGCCATGCTGTTCTACGGCCAGCACGCCATGCTGTTCTACGGCCAGCACGCCATGCTGTTCTACGGCCAGCACGCCATGCTGTTCTACGGCCAGCACGCCATGCTGTTCTACGGCCAGCACGCCATGCTGTTCTACGGCCAGCAGGCCATGCTGTTCTACGGCCAGCACGCCATGCTGTTCTACGGCCAGCACGCCATGCTGCTCTACGGCCAGCACGCCATGCTGCTCTACGGCCAGCACGCCATGGTGCTCTACGGCCAGCACGCCATGCTGTTCTACGGCCAGCACGCCATGCTGTTCTACGGCCAGCACGCCATGCTGTTCTACGGCCAGCACGCCATGCTGTTCTACGGCCAGCACGCCATGCTGTTCTCACGCCCAGCACGCCATGCTGTTCTCACGCCCAGCACGCCATGCTGTTCTGACGCCCAGCACGCCATGCTTCACCTTGCACACGGGCAGCACGCCATGCTTTACCATCACCATCACGGGCAGCACGCCATGCTTTACCATCACCATCACGGGCAGCACGCCATGCTCTACCATCACCATCACGGGCAGCACGCCATGCTCTACCATCACCATCACGGGCAGCACGCCATGCTTTACCATCACCATCACGGCACACGGCTCACCATCAGCCTGCCGCACCTTGAACGTGTCGCCACTGTGTGTGAGCAGCACAGCAGCATTCCCCACAAACGGCACACTCTCATGAAAGAGAGTCCCCGCCTTGCCTGCCAGCCCATACACCCCATCCCCCGACCGCCCCACCAGCCCTATCAACGGCCGTGCCCGCCCCTTCCCTATCCTCCCCTCCCCCTCCTCCTTCCCTGCTCCTTCCTGCTCGTCCCCCAACCTTCCCTTCCCCTGCCCCCTCTGCTCCTCCTGCCGTTCACCCACGCCCCCTGTTCTCCCGTCCTGCTGTGAGCCCCCATCCGCGCCAACCCCCCCATCAGCCACCAGGTGGGCAGGGTCGGAGGGGAGCCAGGTCTGGTTGGCCATGTCGATGCCCGACCGCGTGATCCACTCAAACGTGTCGGGCTGGGCAAGGCGTGCGAGCCAGAGCTCCACAGAGAGGCTGTGCTGCTCCAGGCGTATGTATGCCCCGTCCACCAGGGCTAGGACCCACCGGCAGCAGCACGCCAGCTGGCGGTTTATAAAGGCGATCTGTGGGGAAGCAAGGAGAGGGCAGACGGGAGAGGAGGAGGAGAGGGAGAAAAGGAAGCAGAGAGAGGAGGCACAGTGTGACCATCGGCCTCTTGAAGGTTTGTCTGTGTGGGGAGGGGGAGGCGTGCAAGCCAGTGCTCCACGGGCAGGCTGTGCTGCTCCAGGCGCACGTATGCGCCGTGCACCAGGACTAGCACCCACCGGCAGCAGCACGCCAGCTGGCGGTTAATGAAGGCGATTTGGGGTTGGAAGGGTGGGTGGGTCGTGGGCGCGATGGATGACAGAGGATAAGGATAGTATTGAGGCGTTTCAAAAGCTGGGAGAGGTCGTGGAAGTGAAAGAAGCATGGGTGAGATACAAGACGTGGACTTTCCTCCTGTTAATAGAAAGTGTTGAACCCTGGACTGTCCACACACACACAGGACACACTGCAAGCGTACCCTGTTAATGGTGTTGGGGTCGATGCCTTCACTTATGAGCATGGGCGTGATGGCTTCAATCGAGTAAAAGGTGTAGCCATGGCGCTGAGCGTACAGTCTGAGTAAGACAGCAGCAGAAGGGACAAGAGGGAGGCAACGCATCAACGTGACGATAGAGTGAGAGCAAGAACAATGGCATGCCGCGACTGATGGCACTGGTGCTGCTGTGAATTAATCATTTACTGTCAAGAAGACATCCTGATACGTCTCTCTTCCCGCCTTCCTGGTCCTCCCCCTCCTCCCTGCACTCGCCACCCAGCCTTCCCCCTTCCATCCCCTTCCACCCTCTTTCAACCCCATCCAGCCCATCCTCTCACTGGTTGATCAGCTGGGAGGAGAGCCACAACGGCAGGTACTTGGCGTTCCCCTCCAGTCAGATAGTCAACAGCCAACTGGCCTCATCCCGAGTTGTCTGTCCCCCCTTGTTTTTGGCCCATCCCCTCCCTCCCTACACTCACCACCCAGCCTTTCTCTTCATACCCTCACCTCACCCAGCCTCCCTCTCACTGGTTGATGAGCTGCGAGGAGAGCCATGACGGCAGGTGCTTGGCGTTGTTCTCCAGATAATCCGCGGACGACGTGTCGGCCAGCAGGGATGCGTTGATGCTGCCGCGATCAACGGCCAGGATGCACCGCTGGTTGAGGTGAGTGCCGGCTGGCAGGGTGGGAGAAGGGAGGGAGCGTGAGGGAGCAGTGCGAGTGCAGTAACCTGAAGATTCAGCAATATTTCAAATGAATGGCATGAATATACAAACCCTAATCTCCCCTGACATGTGCACCTTGTGTGTCTGTCGCCTTGCTGGAAGGGTTGGTGAGCAACGTCTTGATGTCTTTTAGAACCGCATCCACGTCGGTTGCTTGGTCCCTGGATTCTTGCAGCAACGATTTGAGCTGATGACGTGGCACGAATGAGTGAGGAGAGGAAAGGCGGGGAGTATAGCGCGGGATAGGGGTGGTATGGGGATGGGGAAATACGGGGGAAGCTTGAACACCAGGATACGCGAATGCTTGATACCGAAGACACTGTACTGTACCTTTGCTTGTCATTTATTGAATCATGCATAATGATCCAAGAAGGGAGGATCCATCAATCGTTGCTGTTGAGGCAATATCAAGGACTTCCCAGATGGCAGTATGATCCATGAAGGGACGTCAACGACGGCAGTATCCATGAAGGGACGTCGCACCTCAGCGACGGTGGAAGAGTGGTGCTGATGGAAAGCGACGGCGACGATGATGGCGAACAGCGAGCCAGCAACCATGCCTAGATTATGCCACGTGGCATCGGAAACAGCCTTGGATCCTGTTGTCATCTCGACTGGTTTACTAGGCATCCTGTGCTGTAGCTGATGCGATGTCGCCGACATGTTCAGGCGACAGTTTCGCGATCACTTTCTCGTTCTTCGCATCGCTAACGCTGGAAAGTAGCCGTTGGAATAAACAATTCAAAAGCCTATGCAGGCGCGTTCTACGCGAATGCTAAATCTACCTGCAGTGATTGTTCACCGACGACGCGTCCCCGCGAAGTCAGGTATTGCCGAAAATAGTACACCCTGTTTCTCACTACTATGAACTGTGCCGAACTGGTGGAAAACCTAGTTACCTTCGATTTGTCTGATTGAACCATACCGAGACTTCATCTAACCACTGTTAACCGTGCTTTTCCCATCTTGACTTCACTAAAACCGGATTCACAATGGCGAGAAAGAGGGTGTAGTGACCGCGGGCATTGCCTCGCCATACGCGCTACTAGACTGCACATGGGTCGATTCATTAACTGCATAAGATATGAGTACGGGTGACTGTTTTTGCCATTTGATTGCCGAAGCCAACAGAGATATCAGTGAATCAACAATCAGCTTCGGCCTTATTATCTATCTAAAAGGTCAAACAAAATTTGAATGGTGGCGCTTCGCAAAACAATAAAGTCGAAATAAAAATTAAATGTGGTACCGGTATCAAAAGTAACGAATCAATCAATCACATCAAAGTGGAAGCCCAAGCGGCAAAACTGAATGGTGAAACGAGGAAACACCCTGCCCAAGCGACACCGAAGACATCCCAGGAGGGAATAGCGGCGCACACGCACCCCTTGCCCCACCCGCTCCACCCTGCAAGTTCGGCGCAGCCGAGGACAAAGCTGCTGCAAGCTGAGGCGAGGGGGAGCGCGCAAGGGGCGAGGAACCCCACATGCCGGGCTGAGAGGGCTGCAGGGAGCTGTTGCTCCCATTGCTCCAGATGGAAGCTCCGAGGAGAGAGAGGGAGGAGGACATGGGGATGGACATTGAACCACCCGTGAAGGACTGGAGGCCTGACCCCACTGACTGCCACTTGGTAGTCCTGCACAGGATGGGACGCGGGAAGGGAGCAGCACTGAGTCAGTTCCGAGGATGACAGATGCCAGAGGGAGACGAGGTGCAAACACAGTACTAGGTGACATGATTGAAAAGCAGCACTGAAGCGGCAGTGACTGGCAGAAATGATAAAATCAAATGCGAAGAGGGAGCGGAGCGGGACACTTACTCTGCAGCGGATCCCAGCTTGATCGAACCCACAGCAGCCGTGGCACTGTTCTCCTGCCCCCAGATGCTCGCAATAGCAGCCACAGCAGCGTCCGCATCCCCTCCACCCCACGTCCCTCTCACCGCCCCCACACTACCCGACGCCCAAACCTCGCTCCCACTCCGCCCCGACACCCCTCCAACACCGGTATACCCTGAGAAATACCCAGCGGCACCGGAATAGCCTGCTGCACTGGTGGTGGTGTAGCCTGAAGCACTGGAGTAGCCAGAGGTAAGCAGCGGCGAGCAAAACGAGGCGGAGGAGGACGCGCCTGCCGCCAAGGCGGAGGCGGAGGCAACTGCTCCCGCCGCCCCCCACCCCCATGCTGCTGACTCTACCGTTTGCACGCCCAGATTCCCCCCTGCTGCTGCTGCACCCGCCGCGCCAAAGGATGCTGCCCCGGTCGATCCGGAAAGCCCTAGCCCCGACCCTGCCCGCGCTGCTGCTGCTGCTGTTGCCGCTGCTGCTGCTGCGGCGGCGGCGGCCTGCGCCTGCATGTCCGCCTGCCCCAGCGCGCCCGCGTCCGCTTTCTTGGCGCCCGCGGACGGGCCGAACCCAGGAGGCGGGGACAGGGGCGCGAAGCCAGGGGGAGCGGAAGGGCGGAAGCCCGGGGGCGGGGTGACAGGCTTGGATGGGGCAGTTTTGGGAGCAGGGGCGGACGCAGGGGCAGCGGGGGTAGCGGAAAGGGGAAACGTGGCAACTGCTGCTGGGACTACACCCGTCAAAGCCGCAGGCGGCATTGCTGCTACAGCCGGCGCGACCGCTGCTGCCGCTGCCGCTGCTGATGCTGCTGCTGCGGCACCCGAGAAGCGGCTCTGAGACTGCTTGGCCGCGGCGACGATCTCACTGGCGCGCTGCATCTCGTCCGTTGACCATCCCACGCCCACGAAAGCCTGTTGCAGCTGCCGCTGCAGCGCCTGCAGCTGCTGCAGCCGCTCCAGCCCGCTCCCGCCGGAGGACGCCCAGCCCGCGACAGCGATCCCGTTACAAGCCACCCCGTTAGGGGTGGATAGGACGGGTTTGGAGAGGGTAGCAGCGGAGGAGGTGGAGTGCGGCGAGAGCCACGTGGAAAAGGACGGCGATGAGATGCTGCCGTGGGGGCCGGCAGCGGCGAGCGGGATGGATGAATCGGTGCTGTGCGGTGACGCGGCGTCCCGAATTCTCTGGAATGAAGGAACCGAGGAGGATGGCTTCGGCACAACGGAACTGGCAGGTTCGGGGACCGAAGTCTGAACCACGCTGCGCTCGCCTGCGCGGCTCTGCGTTTCATCTGCTTTCACCTCACCGGCTTCTGCTGCGGTTGCTTGCGCGGCGGAAGCACCAAGGTCGGCGCGGCCGGGACTGTTGAGCAGCATTTCTGCGAGCTGGTCGCTCAGGCTGAACCCCATCTCATCGTCGGACGAGCTCCCTCTCCCGCTGCTGCTGCTCCTGCTGCGCCCGCCGCCGCCGCCGCTGCTCTTGCTGCTACCGCTACCGCTACCGCTGCCGCTGCCGCTGCCGCTATCGTTTCCGCTGCCGCTGCCGCCAGTGGCGGTGGCGCTGTTCCTCGCGTTGCTCCTGCTCGCGGTCGCGCCGCTGCCGACGCTGGTCGCACCGTCGTCGCGCGGCTGCTCGAGAGATGCGGTGGAAGGCACGCGAGATGCGGAGTCGGCAGGCACGGGCGGGGGGCTGATAGTGCGAGTCGACGCCTTGGCGGAAGAACGAGCGGCAGCGGACGACGAGGAACTCGATACCGCGACATCCGCTGAAGCACCCGCCGAGGTTTGCGGTTGAGGCTGCTGCTTCCTACCCGCCAGCGCAGAACCCGCAGAAGCGACCGTCGCGGCCTTGGCACCCTCGGCAACTCTCCCCGCTTCCTTCCCCTTCTCCCCGCCCGACTCCTTCCGTGAGTCCCTGCTTGCAGACTTCCCCGTTTGAGCGTGACTCGATACGGCGGACACAGACGGACCCGCCGTCGCTGGCTCTGCCTTAAGCGCGGGCCAAGACGTAGCGGTGGTTTCACCGCTCGGCGCGGCATGGGCGTCAGACGACAAACGCCGCCCGCCCGCAGCAGCCGCAGCTGCGCGGCTCTGCGTAGCGTGACTCGAAGCCACGTGGCTCTGCGAAGCCGGCTGATGAGGCGGGTCGAGCGGTAGGAGCGGCGGAAACGACGATGGCGGGGCTGCGGCTGTGGTTGTGGTTGTGGCTGTGGCTGTGGCTGTGGCTGAGACAGACGCCCATGGCGCTAACGACATCGATGCTGATGACGAAGATGCTGCTGCGGCTGCTGCTGCTGAAGATGACGATGATGGAGGTGGGAATGGTGGGGCGGCTGACGGTGGAACGGCCGAACGAGGCTTCTCCCATGACGGCCCCCGTCTAGGTTGAACTGGAGGGAACAGGCCAAGGGGAGGGTAGATGGGCACGGCGACGGAAGGATTTTCAGATGAGAAACACGACCCGGGAGAATGATAAGCTAACGGAGCAAGAAGCTTACGCGACGACGAAGTGCACCTGAGAGAGGAGGCGACGACGATAAAGTCGGGAATTCCGATGACGCGAGTATCGGCGGAGCGGGCGACACTCGCGAATGGCAGCGATGATCGCCAGCTCCAAGAATCGACACTCCCAGCGACGCTCCCGCGATCGACGCTCCCTGCTCGGACGCCTTGCTGTCGCCGTTGCGAGAGATCGACCCCCGCCGTTTACCCGACGACGCACCCGATGCGGTTGGCTGCGGCGGCGCCGCCATTTGCGGGTCGCCATAGGGCGAGCGGCAGCTGGGACAGATGCCTTTGAGCTCGAGCTTGATTCGCTCGTAGCAGAACAGACACACGCGGTAGCTGAGCGGGGAAAGGAACAGGGAAAACGGAAAGGAGATGTTAAGTGAGGGATGAGGATGGAAAAACGGGAGAATTTGCAAGAAGCAACAGTAACCTAGTAATTTATGAAGCACGACTGTGGTAGCCGCCTTGCGACGTCAGATCCGATCACAACGATAACCTCACCCGAGCCCTGAAGAACAAGGCTGACTCAAACACCACGCTTAGGTCAGATCTGACTTTCCTATGTCATAAGTTCCGCCGGGACCTGCGGTGCGTGGCACTAGAGCCTCACCCGCAGGGACAGGGCCGGAATTGGATCTCCGTGGCGTCGAGCTCTTCAATGCAGAGCGGGCACACGGGGTCCTCGTCCTCCTCCTCTTCCTCCTCGGGCACTCGCTCGTCCCTCACCCGCTCCGCGGCCTTGGCTGTCGTCTGCTCCATGGTCGACCACTCCACGGCGTACGACTTCACCACGCCGGTTCCAGGCTTTCCCCAGGCCATGATTCGTGGGTGATGAGGAGCTGGCGTGAGCGAGCGAGGCTGTGGGAACAGGCAGAAGCAGCGGGTACTGTAGGAAAGCGAAGTGTGACGGTGAGAGGTGGCAGATGTGAAAGAAACTGGAGGTGGGTTAGGGAACTGGTGATCTGGAGGAAAGCGGCACACAGCTAGTTGTGCAGGAGAGGGAGGATGCATGGTGGCCTAGTGCAGTGCGGTGAAGGTGCAGATGAAGGGAGGAGATGTCGCCACCAGATCAGATCTACGGATCAGATGCGAGGAAGGGTCGAGATCTGGAGGGGAACCGAGGTCATCGGGGGTGGTGGTGGCGGGTGAGATTGGGGGTTACGCGTTTGGCGAAAAGGCTGTTGTGGTCAGCGAGAGACGGCGAAGTATGTAGTGCGATCCCGAAACCTCGGGTAATACCGACAGCAACGTTGCGAAGCCACGTGTATAGCACGGTCGCGCGAAGGTTTCTGGACGACCTGTCTTCTGATGGTAACCAGGGCTAGCAATTGGCGGCAGCGAGAAGATGGAGGCGGGGTTGGTCCGGGCAGGCGTTGGGGTGCGGTGGCTGCATTGACGTGCTGCGGAGAACACACGCGGAGTCAGAAAGCCCGGTCAGAGTTGCCGCCGAAATTGTGAGGGTTTGAGCTTCAAACGAGCAAATCTCGCGCAGGTCACTATGATATCAAATCGTTGACACAATTCGCATGAGATGAAGCTTACGCTTGTTTATCAAGTTAGACTTTGAAGAAACGCGAAGTGTTCTGCTGGTTACCATGATGAGCTCCTCGTGGGTCCAACTTCGCGAAAACGACCCAACCACGAACTCATCTTTTGGCATTGCACGGGGAGCGAGAAAGAGAAGTTCAGGCCAGAGGTGGCCAAAATCCCTGTAAATTCACCAATTTCATAAGGTTCCACACAAAGACGAATCTGAAATAAATCAGCATAGGGCTGCATCACACTCACGCGCTGTCTGTGATGGAATGTCTCCAGTTGCTCAAGCAGAGAGATGGACTGGTGCAGCAAATCTTGCTGGAAGCAAGAGCTGCTCTACCAGCTAATCTTGCTTTTGAACCACCCCCAGAAAACCGTTTTTCTTGGAAAGCAGCATCCATTGACATTTGCAGCTCCGCTGATGACCCTAGCCTCCAAAAACCATGGTAATCAGTTGCACAGTAGATACCGGTAAATGATTTCTCTTGTAGGATGCTCCAGATAGCACCACCTTTACTAGGTGCCAAGTGCCAAACTTGCTTGATCTTCTTTGTACCTGCAGCTCCAATTCATTTAGCTCAGTAATTTCACTTCGGTCAGATTCCTGAGAGAGTCCCAAATAATTCCAGTGATGATTCCCGCTATGCATGTAGAAGACCGTTTTAGATCAATCTCCGCTTGAATTCTTTCCTGCGCAGTTTTCCATATCCTGCATCAACGATGCCGTACGGCCGCAAGCACAGACGAGAGGAGGTCCCACCAGAGAAGCGCAGGTAGCCGTCGTTTCCTCCGCCCCGCCCTCGTCCGCCTCTCTTATGCATTCATCCGATCTTCTCCGCTTCAGTTTCCACCAGCTTTAAATTTCTTTGTCGGTTTTCGAACGTCGCGTGAGCAGGAGTCGGCGCTACAAGACGCGTATCAGGAAGCCCTCGTTAAAATCGGAAATGGCCGTTTGTCGGAGGCGAGAGAGGCTCTGGAGGAAATGTCCTGCCATCCGCTGTGGAAGGAAGTCCAGGTAGAGTCGCGACGGCTCGTGCTCGTCTCTGACGCTTCGCGTCGCGTGGTTTTCTATGGCCGACCTGGAGCTTCGAATGTTAAGCTTCGAAATCCGCTCCACTCGTTTTAGACGCGTTCGGGTCGTAGTCTCGTAGTGCATCAGTGTTGGCTCGACTTGTGGCTTCTCACGGTTCGACCCAGCCGTCGCTAACAAACGCGTTCGTCTGTGGTTGTCGTCGCAGGCTGAAGCAGGGGGAGGGCTGACGGAGATGCGTCACCTTCAGTAAGTCAAGCCATTCCGTTTCGATTCCTCTCGTTCAGTCTTCTTTCAGTGCGCAGTCACTTAACCACGGCAACGTTTTGTTGTGCCGCTGATACAGATTCCTGGTGTGGAAGAACCTTGGCGACGTCTACGCGAAGCTGGGAAGTGACTATAACGAGTCAGCACTGCGTGCTTACGTCACAGCGACGGAGATCGACGGTCAGGATGCAGTCCTCTGGCACAGGCTCGGATCCATGGCTCTCCGAACCGAAGGTCGAGCTCGCCTGGCGAGATACGCACTGGAACAAGGCCTCACCTGCAGCCCTTACCACTGTACGTCCCTGCAGCGCCTACCATCCGAGTTCGCCCATGCCACAGTTGCTTGGCACTAGGGGTGCTCTCCTCCACATCACGCCACTTCATGCCGTGTCTGCTGCACTGCACGTACTAATGTCCCTTGCGCTGCCTTTTCCGCTCCGTGCGTTGTTTCAACAGGGGGGTGTCTGAACAAGCTGCTGGAAGTGCTGGTGTCTCTGGACGACTGGCAGGCAGCACGTGAGCTCGCGGCCTACATGCTCCACCTCGCGCCCACCCATTCTCGCGCGCGGCGAGTGCTGGCCATGTCGAGCGAGGTGTTCCACCCGGACCCCGTGGCTCTGCAGGCAGCATTGGACGCCCTTGCTGCTCGCGCCTCTGCTGCTGCTGCTGCTGCTGGCGGTGAGAATGGCCTGGATGCTGGGCCGTCAGCAGGGGCAACTGCAGGGTTCTCAGCAGAGGTAGCGCAGGAGCAGGAGCAGGAGCAGGAGCCTGAGCAGCAGGGGAGCGCACTGGGCAGCAGTGAGATGTCCGTTCAACAATACAGCCCGGTGCTTGAGCTGCGCGGTCGCTCCTGGGCCGAGCTGATCCTGAACACTGTACACGTCTTCCGCATGGTGCAGCAGCGTTCGGTGGAAAGGCAGGGCTTGGAGCACCCTCAGCCGGTGGCGGGCGTTTCTGTGACGGTCGTGGTAGCAGGCAGTCTGCAAGGAGGTGGTGATCCTAGGAACGGCAACGAGGGCCTCATTGAAGAGGGCGTTGAAAGCGGTCGTGAAAGGAGTAATGATGACGAAGAGCCTCAAGAAGAGCAGCAACCCCAAGAGAAGAGCTGCGCTGCTGCAGGGCCTATTTTGTTTGAAAGAGATCGTTCTGTTGATATGGCATCCGTGCATAAATCATGGTCGGTTGAGGCAGCGTCAGAACCCACAGCGTTGCCCCAGCTGTTTCCAGCCTCCCATCCCTCAGACTCGTCTCTGCCTGACGCACCGTTTGACCCTCCCGCTGTCTTGTCTCAACCTGACCCATCCTTCCGCGTCACTGCATTATCCGAGCCCAATCTTATTGCTGTGGTTGATCTTTGCATGGAGGACTCGCAGTCGCCTCCCGATGCCACTCCAACGCCTACAGCTGAACTGCCAGCTGCTTCCGGTCCTCCTGATGCAGATGATGCACCACCAGAACAGACACCACCGATTGCAGACTCACCACTGACGCAGACACCACTGACACAGACTCAAGACACACAGACTGCAGCAACTTCTGCCGATGCGACTCCAATGTCCACTCAGGAGTCGCCTGCCGTTATGCCTGCCGCTCTGGCAGAAGCAGCCTCGGGACCAGCGCCTGATGCCTCAGCTGCAGCTGTGTCAGCATCTGCTACCACATCACACGATACTGCCACTGCTGATGCTGTAGCCCCTGATGCTGTAGCGTCTGATGCAGCAGCGCCTGATTCTGCGGCGCCTGCAGTTCCTGCCAAGTCAAGGAAGCGGCACAGGCACCCGTTGTCGTTTGTGGGCACGGAGAGGCGCACGCGGCAGCAGATCAAGGAGATGCAGCTGCAGGAGTCCAAGGGGAAGGAGAGCACCCTGCTGGAGAGCGCCAAGCCCCTCCCACCAAAGAGGCTGCGCGTGTTTGACATTCTGGGCGCGTGCTTCAAGCAGCAGTCGCCCTTGATAGGAGCCTGTGATGGAGATGGCTTCGGGAGAGCTGGGAAGAATGGAAGGGGTAAGGAGGGTCTTGCAGTTGGTGTTGCTGAGGGTGGCGTTGGTGCGGATGCTGCTGCTGCTGTTGGTGCCGACAGCGCTCACGTAGGGAGTGGTGGTGGTGCATCTGATGGTTTGAAGATGCTGCACAGGGTGCGGCGCAAGGAGGTGCTGGTGAGGTTTTTCAGCAAGGAGGAGGAGTGGAGCAGCGTGGATGTGGCAGCAGGTGCTAGAGCTGAAGTGGACGCCGGTGTTGGAGCGGGAGCCAGTGCTTCAGAGGGAGTTAAGGCTGCTGATGGTCGTGACCCAGCAGGAGATGCAGAGCGGTTGGGTGTGGTCCAGCAAGTGAGTGCAGCAGAGGTGGAGCAGGTGCAGTCATTCCTCGCCGCCCTGCCAAAGCGCCTCCCTCTACTCCAGGCAGCCTCTCTCATCCTGCAGTACTTGGCCTCTCACCTTGCCCTCTCCGCCTTCACACCCTCCGTTTTGGACGCTCTCCTCTGGCTTGAAAGACAGGCAGTTTCGTGGGAAGGCCGCTCACCCAGTGTTTGGCTGTATCTGGGGGAGCTTTATCTGGCGAGAGAGGTTCAAAGTGATGGTGGCGTGAGCAGAGGGCGGCAAGAGGCAGTGGAAGGGGCGGTGGAGAGGGAGTGCGTGCATTGCCTTGGCATGGCAGAGCAGGGGCAGATGGACGAGGAGGGGGTGAGGTGGGAGGTGGATGGGGATGCGTGGGGCCCAGTGGGGGGACGGAGAATTGCGCCAGAAAAAGCAGGTGGAGAGGTGGAGGAGCTAGGTCAGGGGAAGGGACACGGCGGTTTAGGGGGTTGGGAGAAGGTGGGGTTCTGGGTTCGGCTGAGAGCAAGTCAGGGACAGGTGGCGATGCGGAGGGGTGAGCATGGAAGGGCGATTGAGCTGTTCACGTGGTGCAGGGATGCGCTGGGCAGAGCAGAGCGAAGCAGGGGCTGCTCAGATGGCGCTGAAGTGATGTTACCAGCAGAAGCTGGGTG